GAGTTAGAATTCTAGTGTACATCCTTTTCCAGCTCTGTCCAAGACCCTTTATTGTGATCCTGGTCAGAGCAGTCAGTGGTGGTAGCCGGACACCATCTAGCTGTACTGGACTCAGTCTGGTGGAAGCCTTGGTAGCTGTGGTCCATTAGTCCTTTGGACTAATCTTTTCCTTAAATCTTGTCCTCTTCATTCTCCCTTGCTCCCAAAGTGGTGAGACAAATGGAGTATCTTAGATGGCTGCTCACAAACTTTTAAGACCCCAGACGCTACTCACCGAGCTAGAATGTAGAACATTGTCTTTATCAACTGTGTTATGCCAGTTGAGCTAGATGTTCCCTGAGACCATGGTCCGCACAGCCCTCTGCCCAGCAATTCAGTCCCTCAGGGAGTTTGGATGTGTCTATGGAGCTTCCATGACCTTGCCTTGTACAAGCTGTGCTGGCTTCGCCAGTATTGTGTACTGTCTTACCCTTCACCAAAGTTACCACTTATCTATTGTCTATTGTGTGTATAAATTTTTGAATGAGAAGCTAATTTGTGCTGTAAACCTTCAAATAAAGCACAATAAAATTAAATAATAATAATAATTACTGATTTATCCTAAAACATAGCTTTAGTCTCACCTTTGGAGTCTTGCTTCTGGAAACTGAATTCTTCAAAAGAGCACAATGCTTAAGGCAAAACGGTCTTATTAGTTTGTCTAGACCTTTGTTTGACTCAGAGATGACTTTCAGAAACAAGTTTCTTTGAGAGTCAAGGTTTAAAAGGACATCTAAAGGCAAATGTCCTAGGCAGATCACCCCAATTTCATGGAACCCAGAAATCTGAATTCCAGGAGAACTAAAATGGTTTCTCAGTATTGTGTATTTAGAAAAGACATTTCTACATACTAAGAAACTAAGATGTTGCCCGTACTAACGTTCGCTAAAATCATTGCCACTTTTTATTACAGTATTGATCATGACAAATCTTTTTAAAATATCACAATTTAGTAATGTGCTGGGGTGTTTCACACGTATTAGTTATTCCTAATATTCATATAAGGAAAAGTAATGATAGCCCCTTCTTACTGAATGGTCTAAACAAGTTAAAGTGACTTGGCCACAAATACATGGAGCCAGGACACAAGCAGAGAATTCTTTCTTCAAATGCCGGGCGCTTTGGCCAAGATGGTGTCTTACATCTATGACTTGAATTCAAACTGTATTTGCAAGGCTTTTCCTATTCCTTCTCCAAAAAATGAGACTATATTCCTGTCCCTGGTTTCACAGTTTCTTGCTTATTTTTGTCTGTTTATTTCTTCCCAGAAGGCCAGGGCTTTGTGAGTGAAGATGAGTACCTGGAGATCTCTGACATCAAACGTGAGCAGTCTGGGGAGTACGAATGCAGCGCCTTGAATGACGTTGCTGCACCCGATGTGCGGAAAGTAAAAATCACTGTAAACTGTGAGTTGACTGGCTGTCAGGGAGTTCCAGGGAAAGAGGGTACACGGATAAAAGGAACAAGCTGACAATGGCAAAGCCATTTGCTGAAAGGCCCAAGTTGCTGCCAACAGAATAACGTTTTATCAGACTGCTTTGCCCTATCAGTCGCCCCATTGCTGTTTATTTGCCCCTAGACTCTTTCTGTGATTTTCAGTGCTTTCAGCTGATGGGAAGAATTATTGGCTTTGAATTGATTTGAAGATTTAGGGAAGATGGCTGAGGTTAATGCAGTATCTCTAAACAAGAAGTTCTTTTCCTAAAAAAAAAAAAAGACTATTTAACTGGGAGGAAGCGGTATCCCAAGAAGTCAATTCATATTAGAGGTAGCTAAATATGCCTTCCAGCTTTCTCATGGAATACTCTGCATGTTTATTTATTTTTCCTCATAGACCCCCCCTATATCTCAAAAGCCAAGAACACTGGTGTCTCAGTTGGTCAGAAGGGTATCTTGAGCTGTGAGGCCTCTGCAGTACCGATGGCTGAATTCCAGTGGTTCAAGGAAGATACCAGGTATGCAACTAGGGCAGCTCTTAGCAGTCCTGATGAATCATCCCCCACATAAAAGGGGATGACAAAACAAAGGAGAGAGAGAAGGAAAAACCACAGTGCATTATAACCTCCTTTGTAAGAGAGTTTCCTTTTAGAACCAGAAGAGGAAAAAAAAAAAGAGAGAGAGAAGCTGAAAATTGACTTTGTTTTTTAATATAAGATACTAATCTTGTACACATGTGTGCACAATAACTATGCATACATGGCAGTCTTCAATGACTAACCTATTGCGTCAAGTCAATTCTGACTTACAGCAATCCTGTAGGACAGAGTAGAGCTGCCCCATGGGGTTTCCAAGGAGCCAATGGTGGATTTGAACTGCCAACCTTTTGGTTAGCAGCCAAGCTCTAAACTACTATGCTACCAGGGTTCCTTTTGACAACTAGAAGCCAGTAAATTTAGCTTTTTGAGCGTGAACATTCTTTCCTTTCTCCTCTTCATGGAGGCCATGGTACTTAAGGTTTGAGTTACAGGGACTGGGTTAGTTAGAGAAAATGTCTTTTGTGAGGAGAAGGGCCTTCTGGTGTGATTGATTTTTGGTATCTTTGATCTCTCTCAGCCACCCAGTCTGTTGTTTCAGTTACATTTCTGAAACCAGACCAGCAATACCTTCTCTGTTTGCAGGTTAGCCACTGGCCTGGATGGAGTGAGGATTGAGAACAAAGGCCACATATCCACTCTGACTTTCTTCAATGTTTCAGAAAAGGATTATGGGAACTACACATGTGTAGCCATGAACAAACTTGGGAACATCAATGCCAGCATCTCATTGTATGGTGAGTGCAGGAAGCCTGGATGCAGTGAATTCAGCCAAGTGGGAGAGCTTAAAGGACTTGAGAGGGAGGAAGGCATACTCAGCTTGGCCTATGTCCATCCACACTGCCTCGGCCCACCACCTTAAATGGTCACTGTCATTTATCACAGCTTGTGATACAGTGATGTTTATAAGGTAATCGGTATCACCTGTTTTACTGAAAGGCAACTTTTGCCCCTTACTAAAGGTGTAAACCATATTCTAACCTAGTTGTATGGTGTTTGCCATAAAGAAGATAGATAGACCCTTGGGACAGTTCAATTGTAATACTATCTAAAGGTCTCAGGGAATCCATTAGATGTAATTTTAAGATAACGTTTATAGTAAGCGTATGATCCTAGAGGTTATATTTATAGTTTTGAACAAAGTCAGATGCTGCCATTGTGATCTTCATGTCATGTTCTTACAAATTGTAATAAATGGAACACAAGTCTGAGTCCTCATCAGAACAGCTATTCTCTCCACAGTTGGAGCATCTAACACTTCTCTGGAAGTCTTTCCCTCCCATGTGGATGGAGAGGTCTCCAGAGCCTTGACTGGCCTTCATAGAGGCCCTTATCTTCCCTTCACTCTAGTTCTGTGCCCATCTGCTTGTGCAACATTTCACATCATGGGCCATGGTCAGCTTGCTGTGATATTTTATGTGTGTATGTATCTGTGTATTTACTGAGGTTTGGTTGGAGGAAAGTGTCTGATGAGTAAGATAAAGAGGTCTCCATTTTTCATGTACATCTCAGACCCTGATCAAGCTTTCAGCATGGACATTTACTAAACGTTGTCCACCAACCATCTAAAATGTGTGATCTATGTTTTTTGTTTCCTCTCTGCATTGTGTGTGCATTGTGCTGTGTGTGTCTTAGAAATAAGCCCCTCATCAGCAGTGGCAGGTGGGTACAGCATGTTCCTTCCTTCCTCTGCCTGCCTGAATGCCTATGCATTTGAGTTGAAGCGTACTTGAAAGATGGGCTTGCCTATTCCATTTCCCTGACTTATTTCTCCTTAGAAAATATACTTTGAGGTGTTAAACCCGTTGCCGTCAAGTCAATTCCGACTCATAGCGACACTATGGGACAGAGTAGAACTGCCCCATAGGGTTTCCAAGGAACAGCTGGTGGACTCTAACTGACGACCTTTTGGTTAGCAGCCATAACTCTTAACCACTGCACCACCAGGGCTCCTTCAAGGGGTCAGCCTAGCACAAGTTAAGTAAGTAACATGTAGAATATGATGGTTTTGACATGCACACATATAAAATATCATACTAGGCTTCAGGGGAAGGGTTTGTGCCTCCAGCACAATAAGCTTCCACTTGGTCACTTTAAAGGGATGAGTGTTCTGCTCTTTCTACACACAGCAGCATCAAGAGGAACTTAGCCTAGAGATCAAATGGATTATCAGATGTTGCCTCCGTGGGGATGTCACCATAGTATGGTGTTTTATTCTTTTAGCCTGAGACAAAAAGGACTTACAGTATTGTTCTAAAAACTTTATTTTAAACTAGAAGTATTTTGGAACATTATTCATAATAGCAGCGTCAACCACTTACCACATATTTACTGGTATCTAGGCACCATTTAGTGCCTCAGTTATTAATTCCATTGAGGTTAGGTTGTTAACCCCATTCTACAGATGAGTAAAAGGAGGACCAAAGAAAGAGAATAACACTCAGTACATGTAGCTAATGAAAAGGCACTGGATGAGACTGAATTTGCCCTTTTCATCAGGTGTTGGAGTGTTTACCCAGATGATAAACAGAGTGACACACACACGTACATACACACATGTCCACGCTCACTCAGACATTTAGATGAAGCAGCTGGTGGCAGCTCTGCTTCCACACTTGGAAGTCTCACAGTCCTACTTTTTTACAGTGTCAATCTCAGTCATATGGAAACTGGTAACATTTGGCATCAGCTTTCACAACTCTGGGTTCAAGACAATCTTAGATCACTAGCCCTGCTTCCTTCTTTCCCACGAATATCCATCTCTTGGTCTAGATAAAACTGAGGGAAAGTGTGGGAAGAGGTGCCACCCTGCTGCTGGCCCTGCCATCACTCCTCTGTTAGTGTGATTGCAAGTAGCAGGGAATATGATCAATAGAAAGATCCTACTATTGACACCCTGGGTTCTTGTCCTCTCTGCCAGTAACTACATAAAGAGGAGAGATAACAGGAGAAAATGTAGATTACCACATAGATTCACATACCAAACAGTTACACATCAGCCATGTGAGTTTGGGCAACTCATTTACACTTACTGAGCTTTGGTTTCCTCATGTATGTGATTCAGTATTAAAATCTGTCTCAAAATATTGGTGAGAGGATTAAATAATGTCATTATCTATATAGAGTCCCATAAAAGCTACATTTAGATGTGTGACTTTGACAACACACAAATACTACAGGCCTTGGCTAAACTTAGGATAATATTCCCTGGCCTGATGTCTTAAGAGTGTCATTGTTAAATAGGCATAAGATAATATTCATCAAAGTGGCATAACAAACTGAAAATTGTTGTATAAATGCAAGGTATTGTGATTACTACTGGTCTCTGCCAACCCTTCTCGTGACATTACCCTTTCTATCACTGCCTCCCTTGACACAGCTGCCAGAATGATTGCTCATTTGGACTTCTGTTTTCTATTCCTCCAGTCTCATGTGCCCTCTTGCTATAGCACCCACCAATCCCTGTCACTTATCCAATCTTGCTTTCCCCAGTTGGTGTCCACAACCTTTCAGATCTCGGTCCAAGCCTCCCTTCCTCAAGGGAGCTTTCTCTGACCTCCCTGACAAGATCAGCTTCCCATTACACATCCTTCTGCACCCTGCCTCTGACTTGGTTGCACTCAACCTGGCATTCATTCAGCGAGTAGGCATTGAGTGCCTACTTAGAGCCAAGTGATAAGGATGCAACAGTGACACAACAGACAGATCCCTTGTTTCTATAGACTTTACACTCTAGCTTCAATGTCACTTTTTTTTCTTCCACTGTAGCCTGTAAGCTCCATGAATGTAGGTCCATGTCTGCTTTGCTCACTGTTTGATCCATGGAATCTAGCACAGGTATCCACACACAGTAGCTGGTCCAGAACATTCTGTTGGACTGGGAGTTCAGCTGTCAGGAATCAAAATGCTACAGAAGAGAGTAGGGGCTGTTAGTCTCCAAGCCCTTTTAAGGCCAGGCTCTGCTATTGGCTTGTTGTATGCTTTTAGGAAGTCAGTCCCACAGGCTTTGGCTTTTTTTTTTTTGTCAGTTAAAGCATTTTGGATAAGACGTCCTCTGTGGTCTCTGATGCTGTGACTGAATGGCAATAGTTTTAGCAAAATAAATGTGGCCAGAGTTAAGAGTGTGTTGTCCAGTTGACAAACCCTTTTCTGCTGTCCATGAAAGCTCCTTGAGTCTTCAACGTTCCCAGAAGCATGGCTGATTATAAACAACCACTTACTGTGCACAGGACACTAGACTAAGTGTTTTACATTGTTTATCTCATTTAACAACTCTTTGGAAGAAGTGCTGTACTTATCCCAGTTTTACAGATGAGGAAATTGAGAGAGCAGGCAGATTATTCAGACTAGCCTGTAAGTGCTTGATCTTGGGTTTGAGCCTATGTACTTGGGTCCCAGGGCCTGATCTCTTTGCTACAATTTCAACCCAACATTTCAATCCAGCTCACAATACTTGACAACTCCATCACAGATATTGGTGAATGACCTTCTGATAGAACCCCTTATCAACAATTAGCCTCTTTGTACCCATTTCTCAGACCAATATCTCTCTTCTTCTAACTGTCTAACTCTGAGATCACTTTTCAAAGGACAAGTTTTGATTTTACAGCCCATCTACTCATGCTTCCCAAACGCACGTGCACACACACACACACACACGTGCACACACACACACGCAGTTCCCAGGCATGTATTCATGGACTGTCAGCTTGTTTTTGAGAGAATCCTTTGATACTGCACCTGTGACCCATCACAGTAGGCCTCTCACACATACTTCTTTCAACTATTTCCATACCTCCTACATGCAAAGTACAAAGGAAAATCGGATAAAAGAAATTTCAGAAGAATTCAGAAGACTAGGGAGACAATTAATTGGTGAGTAGGTTGGAACAGGAATGATTAGAAAAAATGAGAAACAACATAGCTGAGTGGGTGATCGGTAAAGACCAGTCAGTAGTTGGCACTTCATGTGAGGTGTTCAGCCCACCTCCCTAAACCATCACCTGGCAAAGCCACAGAGATAAGGCAGGTCCCTTAGGCTGAGTGCCATTTCAGACAACCTGCTTTCCTTAGAACCCATGACTGCAGGCACTGGACAGGCAGCACAATATAGAGGAGAGGCCTGTTCTAGGTGTGAGAACTGGGTCTTAGTCCCAACTCCAACACAGACAGGCTATGACTTTTTTTATTCCTCAGATGTCTGTAAAATGTAAAAGCAGAACAAGATTGACTTCCAGGTTACCTCCAGTTTCCAAAGTTTCTGTTTTGAATTTGGATAACAGGGTAAGGGACAGTGGTCTCCAAAGCTATAGCGTTTAACCTTGGAAATGATGTCAAGTGCCCTAAGTTACTAAAGAGAATCTTGTTCCTAATACCTGTAATTTTATCAAATGGACGTGGTCATTTGAAGCTCACCTGATGCCCTGGCACCTGGAAGTAGCACCAGGCCTTGTGCCGCAGGAGGATGGCCAGCTCAGCAGATGGCCCCCTGGCTCAGCCTACTGGCCATAGCTCAGCCTCTCAGGAAGCCAATCACTTTGTATCAACTTGTCAACCCACTTTGCCTCCTCTGGGCCTGAGGAAGAGGCCCATCTCCCTATCTTTAAAGTACAAAGAGGAGAGATTCTGGGCTTGATGACATCCAATGCTGTAGAGTATGATGCTCTTAATGAGGCACATAAATGCCTAGATTACTGGAACTGGCAGGGGAGAGGGACTACGAACACAAACAAAGCCA